TAATCAGTTTCAGTGTGATGATCTGATTATTCGACCCTTGGAGAGCCAAGGTATTGAACGGCTGCATCCTATGCAGTTTGATCACAAGAAGGAATTAAGAAAACTCAATATGTCTATCCTGGTCAACTTTTTGGACCTCTTGGATATCTTGATAAGGAGTCCCGGGAGTATAAAGCGAGAGGAGAAACTGGAAGACTTGAAACTGCTTTTTGTTCATGTCCATCATCTCATAAATGAGTATCGCCCTCACCAAGCCAGGGAAACACTGAGAGTCATGATGGAGGTGCAGAAACGTCAGCGTTTGGAAACAGCAGAGCGATTTCAGAAGCACTTGGAGCGAGTTGTAGAGATGATTCAGAACTGCCTGGCTTCCTTGCCTGATGATCTGCCGCATTCAGAGGGAGGACTGGGAGTGAAGGTGGAACCAATGGATGGTGATGATGGCAGCAACTGTATTGGACAGAGTGAAAAACAGAGAGAGCGTTCTGGTGGCAGGAGAGATCAGGTTTTGGACAAAGATGCGGCTATGTGTAGAATTATTGATGAGATGACATGAGGAACACTTTTTCTTTCATTAGCTTGCCACAGTGAGAGGCAGAATGGATTCAGAGGGTATATGTTGTATTTTGCTTTGCTGTTGTACAAGCAGACAAAGCATTCGCTGTATACCTGTTGGAGGTTGTGAGTGACAGATGAAAATGTTTCATATTTTGTGAGCTGTGTGTTTATTAGTAGAAACAAACAAGTATTTTGTTAAATGTATCATGGAATAGCCTCAGATTGAAGTTAGCTTTTGCTGTTGTATTTTCATTTGTCACTTTCTGCTTTTTTGTGTATGCTTCGTGTTTTTTAAATGACTTTATAGGGTGGAAGCAACTAAGGGATCTGACTGAGGAGGATGGCAGTTGACAGTTCCTCCATTTCAAATAAGTGCTCGTTGTTTTCCATTTCAGTGGGTCTTTTCAGGAGTGTGTAATTCAATATTAAAATTAGTGTGAAGTCTGCAAAATCCATTCCTTCCTAGTTTTCTAATAATATAACTGTACTAAAGAGAACATAAGAATTCCTTTATTACAGATGTCATGTGATGAAATTTGTCTTATAGAGACACACTGTCTGGAATCTCAGCAACTAAATGAATTAAAATTGATTGAAGTTTAATTCTCTTGGATATAAGACATACGTATGTTTTCCAAAGTATGTGAAGCAGCTGAAAACCAGGTAAACTTTACGGGAGAGGAAACTTGCCCAGGCTCTGTTTTTAACTGTGATTTAGCAAGCTTTGTCTGTTGTTTCATTTGACAGTTCTGTTGTTTTCAGAAATGTTACTTAAATGGGTAGACAAAAGTACTTGGTGTTGGGGGTTGAGCTCAGTGCAGATAAAGACAAACTGAAGCAAGTGTGACTCTCTGGGGGACGTCGTCTTCTATTTTAAGTGCCCATGACATCATAAGCAACAATAAAGAAGTAGAAACATAGTTTTTTAGAAATATATAAATAATTTTACAAAGGTAACACTTTGTCCTTTATTCATCCACCACTGTTTCCTTCCTTCTCCCTGGACTAGATCTAAATTGTGTTGCTTGTAGATAACTAAAACTGTTGCTAGTAAACAGAATTAATTTGGTATCTGCATTGCAAATATTGTTGGACGTGGAAGATACAAAGAAACATTCACTGCCTCCTGGATAAGAGAGGTTGTACACTGTGAACTGCAGTTTGTCATGGACATTTGAACTTTGCCATTCAAAAAGAAATGTGATTGATGTTCAGTGGTTTCCTGTTGTGTTTTTTTTTTGTCTGATTTATATGTTTTTAACGAAGGCCTAGGCCTGGGTACCATAGCTTCAAAATACTGCACAAGCTGTGTCCTAGCAGCAGCTAACAATTCCCATGGACTTTTTTGTGAAACCACTGGGGTAAACAGGGATCATGGAATTTAAAGAAGACTTCATGCTGCTTTCACTTTCCAAACATTTTCCTGAATAAATTGTTCTATATTTCCTCACCCCCCTCTGTTGAAAGCAAACCTTTAGAAAGCTGTGGGAGGCTTCCTGGGCTTTTTTCAGCCAAAGCAATGACTCTTCCTTTGTCTGGCCAAAGCAATGATATTTTTCCCTTTTTCTGTTACAACTTTGCTTTTGGTAAAACAAAAGACTGTAGCTGCAGTGAAAGCAGTGGGTGACATATGCCTGTAGGGAAGTGGACATACCAAACATTGTAGGATGATGTGACTCACTGACGAGCAAATGAGATGGTAAATGTTGTTGTCTCTGGTGTGTTAATTAACCTGCTCCTGATGATGAGACCAGAGGTGGCTCATGTAGAGGAGGAATCCTTGTGGACCCACACACACTGCACATTGTTGCAGGTAACTGGCAGAAGGGACGTGTCCTGGGCTGTGGGTGGATGTTTGTCACACACTGAACCACCAAGAGGAATTAATCAGCTGATGCTGTGCGCTGTCGTGGCACGGCTGTGGTGAATGTGGTCATCCCCTTCTGCCAGAGCCAGCTTGCCCTGCCTTTTCCACATGTGCAGAGAAGTTTCAGGATCCTGCCGTTAAAGATCAGAATTGTTCCTGTAGCAGCTCTCTGCAGTTTCCTGTTTCTCCAGAAATAAGAGAAGTGAAGAGGAAGCATTTTCTTAAGAGTCCTGCTTCCAGCCACTGGATGCCAGATTTCCCCTTTGTCTTTCTCTCTTTCAGTTTTCTCCTACAAGTTTGTTGCTAATATTTGTCTCTTGGCAACTTTAATACCTTGCTTTTCCTCCTTTTCACTCAAAGGAACTGTCACTTTGGTGACTTCTTATGTAAGATCATGCAAGGCAGCTCTGTTGGTTTTGGTTCTAGTCTAATGTGTGTTTCTGGAAGCATTTCTGCTGTTTCAGTTACTGATAAAAATTAACTCAAAACTTAATTTTGTCTGTATCAAACAGTGTGAGGTAAATAAGTTGCATCAGTGAAGAACATTTGTTGGCCGTAGATCAAATACACTTGATCACAGCTGCAGCTCTAGTCCAAGTGATATGAAAAGACAAGATGTCCTCAAGAAGAGTCAGGCAGTGCAGGGGCAGGGAGGGTGGTGGATGCACTTGACCCCTTTACCAGACTAGCGGTACTTTGGTACAGGGTCCAAAGGAGGTACAGGCCTGAGCTGTAGCTGGGCCAAGAACCCCTCTAGTTTCAGTCTGTTCTCTGAACACCCACAGAGGAACAGAGTGACTCTGAGCATTGATGCATGTGAGCTTGGAGCACCGATCATGCAATTGACACGTGAATAGTGGGTGGCTTTTCCAAGACCCATTTATCAAGGAACAAAGAGAGCTGCGGGTACAGGGAGAACCGTGCACACCTTTCCATCACGTGTAATTTAACTACAAGCCAACCACTTTCTTCCATAAATCTGAAAGCCTAAGTGAGCCTTCTTTGAGCTCTCCCTGCTACACAGCCTAGCTGCATGATGCTGATCTCCCCTTGAGCTGAGGTGCCTCTCAAGGTTGCTCCTCAAGGCAGAGAAACCTTTCATTGCTGGCAGATCTTTGGATAAGCCCAATTTGAGCTCTCCCTGAATTGCAGCTGGACTGTGTGCCAGGTAGCTCTCCCTGTGAGCAGGGACGCCTCTCAAGGTTTGAGATTCCTTACCTGAGACTACGAGATCCTTTCTTGCTCAAGGCAGGGCATCCTTACTCGTGACAGATCCTCGGTAAGTGAACAATAGCATGCTGATTTAATACTTACGAAACATTACTAATCTGTGTCATTACTCAGTATTAATTACTATAAACTTTGTATAGATATTTCCATTAGATGCAAACCATTGTCCACGTTTGAGACTAAGATTGGACCTAGCAGCACCTGGGCTCCATAAGGGGTTTAGAAAGCAAGAGGGCTCACGCTGAACCTCGTGACTCAATGGGAGAGTCTTCCTTACCCTTTGCATTGCTGGTCTCTGTGTGAGTCATTCTAACTCAATTTTCTTTCTATGCAGTAACTAATAAGGTGAACCTTGCTATCAAACTTATTGAACATTGGTGCACCACTGTTAAACTTTGTTAAATTCCATCAAATTGATTGAACTCAGTCAAATTATTATTCTACCTCAATAAAACATGTTGCTGCTTCTCTCTTTTGAGTGAGGTGCACTCCACTCATTGGTGTATTTGGGAGGATCCTAAATCAGGATCAGCAATGCCAGGCAAGGCTGTTTCTCAAAACTGTATTTCAGCACCATTTTGTCAAGTGAGCCTTGAGCCTGGGACGACTTGGTTTCCACACGACATAAAGTGACCTCTGTGTTGTCTGTGTGTTAACTTTATACTGCAAAAGCCCACATGCATACAAAGTTTTTAAGAGTTAGATGATGGGAAACTGTAACTCTATTAGGCTACAGTTGTGTAACAGTAGGGCAACTTCCTGATAATACCAGATTATAGCCTACAAATAAAAGAGAGTTTGCTTAAAGTAGCTTTGAACCAGAAATGTAAGATTAAATGCTTGAGTAATTCTTCCTAGGAATCTGTTGTGCTGCCAAGTCCTTTCTGTTTACCACAGTCTGTTATATATCCTATGTAATCCCTTATCCAAATTCTAGCCGCTATGGCAAAAACAGGTGTGGGACACAGTATGGGACACTGGATCACTGATAGCTGTGTCAGCTCAGTGGTGCTGAGAACAGTTGCGTGTACTGTAATCAAGTAGCTCTGGAAAAAACGAGAAGTAGATTTCATAAGTGCTGTGAAGTATTTTAGCCTTTCAGTCAAACCACAGCCAGCAAGAGTTCAGCTGTGCACAACAGCGGCAGCAGTCCTTGGTTGCGTGGCTAAAGACGAACACATTAACCACAGGAAAGGCAATCCGGATTAAACTAAAGGGCATTCTCAGCCGTGCCTGAAGATGACATACTAAGGAGTACCACCAGAAGTTTATGAAGAAGATAAGTTTTCTTGAATGTAGGTGCCCGAAAGGTGAACAGGAGTGTTGTTCCTCATCTTCAGCCACAATGTCATCTTATTTCTGCGTGAACTGGATTCTTCTCATCCTGTTTACAGGTAACTAAGTAGGCCTAAATGAATAGGTGGAGGTAGATGGAGGTAACATGCATTGTTGTTTCTGAGGGTTGCAAAGAGAGGTATCTTATGCCACAAGGAGGAGTGGCTACATGGCACAGAAACTGCAGTTTTGTGTTATGTATAGAACTTCCTCACAGCAGCTCAGTAGTCTTCTGACAGCCTCAAACAAAATAATGTTGAGGGAATGATGGTTTTAAAGACATTGCTTCTTGGGCTGTCTGCTAGTCTTAATAGTGAATTATATGTTTGATTTTTTAGATAATGATGATCTGAGATGAGCAGAGAACTTTAAATTGTTGTAGAGAAGATGTAAAACAAGGTTATTTCACTTCAACAGGCTTTGTGAAGGTGGGCTTTTAGCCAATGTGAAATTCTGGGACAAACTGATAATTTCTCCTTTTTCATTCTGAGAAAGCTCTCCTCCTAGGAAAATACTGTTAAAAGCAGTAGCACTGAAAACAGCAGATTGCAGATCCATACTAGCATAGGTAGGTAGATATTAAAAATTTGGTAGTAGAATATGTTCAGCAGAAAGAAAAGGGATATTACAAGTGTTATCTCTTGTAGTTCTTTATAAAACCTTTTATTATGAGATTCATTCAGAACTTGTTTTTTATATTAAATAAAATACCTCATTTTCAGAGATTAGGTTCTAGTATGCTATTGTGACAGTCTTTGCATGTAGGGTTATTTTTTAACTATAGTAACTTAGGTTAGGAAAATGACTGCTTTGAGCTGAGCCAAACAGCTTTTTCCCAAGGGACAACTGCAATCAAGCCACGCGGTGCTTGGGATCTCCTGGCCCATATTGGCTGACCTGCCTCGGGGAGCTCCCTTCCTAATTATAGACTGGGCTAGGCTTTTAGTAGACATTATTTGTTGCCTGTAGTTCCTGCAGCAAATTTTGTCTCTGAAATGTTAATACTGATAGACCAAACTATTTACACATGGGATCTCATTTTACTGAATTTGATAAGAAACACGTAGTGATAAGTACACAGCAAACAGTTTTCTTTGAAGTACAAGCAGACAGAACGCACACCTCAGGAGCCCCAGTGTGTAACCTGTTAGAGGAAGGTGGTTACAGGATGGCTATGACTGGATCACCAGAGCACAAATTGTATTGGCTGGCACTTAACACAACTTCTTATTAAAACCCTCCTAATATTGACAGCAGTGGTCTAAATACAGCAAAAGATACCATCTCACTGTGACGAGTGGGCTACTTGCTGCTAGGTCTCATGGTTTTGATTTGAATAGTGTGACACAGCCTTCTGAAATGTGAAGAAACCAGATAAGTTAGAAACTACATAAGAATGAGGAGAAAAAAAATAAGGTAGTGAAAAATGAAAGTATAAAATTTCCCAGAAAAGCTCTGAAAAATCTCTTCTGATAGAAATGACCAAATATCTCTTATTATGCAAGAAAAAGGGAAACCTGTTTGGTAGTAATCATTCTGATGAAACCTGCCATTTAGTGTCTTTTCATTGAAAGAGATAAAGAGTTTCCCACAGTTGTTTTATTGAGAATCAATGTCTTAGTGCTCCCTCCTGTGTGGTTTGAATTAAATCTGAACTAAGGAAAAAAAATAAGAGCTAACAGACCAGACATGGTTAAAGAGAAGCTATAGGGTTGTGTAGATCCAAACTCTGATCTCTCTTCACCTCTCTGCCTACCTGCAGAGGCTGCAGAAAGTGTATTTATTCTTTCTCTGGCTAGAGACATATTCTGAACAAATCACTGACCCGATCATTATCCCTCACTGTATCAGTCCTGCTGGGATTCACATCTATTCATGGAAAAACCTGATCCAGCAATACCTGGTGGTGTTTGTGAGATGGGAGGTATCGGGTCATGCAAGATGTGTGAGAAGCTTCCACTTGCTTGCTCCGTGCTCAACAACAACCTTTGTCATTTTGTCCACAGGTCCCACAGTATTGGGATTACTTGTGAAAGGACAGGTTGGCCAGAATGTCACTGTGCCCTGCTCTTACAGTGTTACGGGGACACAAGACATCACAACAATGTGCTGGGGTCGTGACAGCTGCCCTAATTCAAAATGTACTCAGGCCATTATCTGGACAGACGGATGGAAGGTGACAGAGCAGGTCAACAGCAGGTATACGTTGAAAGGGAACCTGTTGGTGGGTGATGTGTCCCTCACAATCGTGAATGCCGAACTGCTGCCGCGTGGAGATCCGAGGGTGGTTCAATGATCTGAAAGAGAACCGTGAGGTTGTGATAGAGAAAGGTGAGTGCAGAGGTGTGCTCTTGTGTGAGTGCCATTGTGGTAAACCTGCTGTTCAGTCTGGATTTCAAAGCTTGTGGTGGAAATTATTTCTATAATCATCCATAGGACTGATCTTTAGGACTTTGCAGGTCTGCTGTTTAGATTAAGCTGTCTTTGGTATTGTTGTAATCCCACTCACTGCAATTAAACAAAGGACGTGGTGCTTTGTTTCATGGTGCACAGCACTGCTGATCTTTCTTAGAAGCACTATTTGAAGAATTTAAGAGAAAGGGCAGCATAGGGCACTCAGTTAATCCAAAGTGTTACACTTGCACCCTTTTCATAGGGAAAGGTGCTCTATTTTCCCTGCTCAATTCTAGAGTAAAGCCCAGGGACACAAAATTAGCATAGACAATTTTTTTAAATCAACACTTCCATTCATTTTTACTTTTTCTTCATGATAATATATTAAAAAAGCGGCTGACAGATGTATTTGTGTTGCTGGTGCTAGCAATTTTTTATTATAGAAACTTTATCACTACATAAATGCGCACTAAGGTTAATTATAACTTATGTTGGTTTTGTTTTATTTTTTAACATCAGCTAGGATCTCTACTGCAAGTCCTCACACTTACACCTCTGAACAGACCCCAGGTAACTTTTATCCAAGTATTACTCTCAATAATCTGTATAAGCTATATTGGAAATGGGGATCTTAGGAAGGAAATAAAATGATAGATGATAGAAATGTCTTGGCTAAAATTTACTAAACATTGTCATAGAACCAGAGATCAGAACTTGGATTTAAATTCTACCTGACAGCATATAAAGAGTCCAACAGAAGGAACATGTATACATGGGAAAAACTTTGCTCCCAGGTGTTGTGCCTAAATAGATGTTTTATTAATGCTGCAAGCTCTTTCCTTGTGGTGGCTGTTTGGCTATGTTGGTTTTTTTGTGGTATAAAATCTCATCTTGTCCTCTGGAAATGCATCCCATGAACAGTAAACCACAAATTTTTAGGAGTTAGGTGTCCTCATGATTTGATCAATTTATTTGTTGCTCAATGTAATATAACATAGAACTGGTTTACTGGGCTAGCTCAAACATGCACCTAATTCAGGATCCCATCTCCAGCAGCAGTCAAGAGCAGGTGACTAAGGAGGATCATAGAAACAAGGCAGTGATTTTGTGGTACAGCACCAAAGCATTCTTACACCCTGCTGTAACTTGTGTCTCCAAGGCTGCCCACACCCTCCATAGCATAAGCATATTTCATGTGTAGCCCCGCATTGTAGTGGAAGAGATGGTGAGCAACTATTCCTCACTCTGTTTCTCCATTCCACTCACAGGTTTATAGACTGCTATTGTATACCCACTCAGCTGCATCTTTTTCAGTCTGAAAACCAGAACTTTTATTTTTATTCACAAGAGAGCTCGTAGTGTAATGATAGTTCATTCTCTGGCTCTTTAAAGAAGAATCAGGGATGTCATTGGTATTTCTCCGTCCATCTCAGATGTTCCCAGCTAAACAACTCTAAAATATTACAACAGTTGCATTTCCTTTTTGGGAAGAAGAAGTGAAAGCTTTCTCAGACTGTTTCTGTTCTAGTTGCAAAAAGCATGGCTTCCAATCTTAGAACTCACGGGTCTTCTTCACCATCTCCCTTAGCTGCTCGTGGGACAACTTTTTATGTTTCAGAATAGTTCATGTGTGTGTGTTCACAGGCTGAGAGGCTGGAAAAGGCAGGTGGCCATGTGCCTCTGTAGGAATACTCCAGAATCTCCAATGGAAGAGAACAGTGTGGCAGATGAACCAAAATAAAGTTTCTAGGATAAGGATAACAATTTAAAACAGCAAACAAACCAGCTGGGATTGACATAACGTGAACAGAATGTTTTGTTTTCAGAGGGGCTGTGTATCATATGACAACAAATGGAGAAACTGAGACTAATGATGTGGAAGACATAAATTTGCAGTTCTGAATTTTTAGCATTGCAAACACCTTTGCTCTGGGAAATTACCTTAAAATTTGCTACAGGTCCTTACGTAAATATTTCACACTTTGGTCAGTCTGTTTATTGTGTAGCTGGCTGGGACTTCAAAGGTGTCACTTACTTTTTCTAACTCTGCACCACTTGCTCTTTCAAGCCCTGAGCGTGACCTTAATCAGTTTTCATCAGATAACCTAAGTTTGCTTTAGGCATCCTCTGCCTTTTCTTGGTTCCAAAACCAGATGCCTACCATGGTAACTCCTTCCTTACAGGCCTTGTGTTAACAGCAAGAGCTGAGTGTTTCCTGGAAGGAATTCAAAGCTCTGAAAAGGGCAGCAGAGGCTCTGTTATTCAGAGTTCTGTGCTGCCCTCTGAAGGAACCAATCTCTTTATGATATGCAGAGCCAAGATTCCTGACAGAGAGATACTTAAGTTCAGTGCTCCTAAGTCAGCCGTACAAAATCCTCTTTGTCCAGGCAGGATGGTTCCCTGTGTGAGTGCTGTGTTTGTCTTGCCTTTGCTCAGCTCCTGGGAGCACCAGCGAATCGTCCTCTACCATCACAAGAGTGTGGCCATCGGTTTCTGCTTCAGAAGTTCCTCAAACTGTAAGCATCTCTGTGCTATAGCATAGCTTGACAAAATGGGTAGACACAAGAGGTTATTGGGTCATCCCTACAGTTCACTTGTGCTGTTTTAGTTTGACTGCAGAAGAATGTTTTTTTTTTTTAGTCTGTACATTTAGTGCTTATCAAAGAATGTTAACATGCTTGTTATTAAAGGGGAAAAAATGCTTTGCAGGCATAAAATACTTCCTAATAATACAGGAAGAGCTTTAGCAACATCTATATTGCCTTTCAGGCCTTTTTCCCCTGTTCAAGCACCTCAGACTGCTTGGATGTCACCTCGAACCTGCAGGTATGGCTGGATATGGGGAAGAGTGGAGAAGGGACCACCTGGCAGCACAGCGATGCACCCACACTGCCCATGTGAAGGGGTCCAACCAGGCAGCTCTGTGGCTGTCCTGCTGAGTCCTCCAGCATGTACTGCAGGGTGACAGGCAGTAAAGTCACCCAGATTTTATCAGGAAAAGAGGACAGCAAAGCTAGGCTTTGGGAAGGCCTGCTGTGATGTACTGAAAGGCTGTGGTCATGCAATACATGTGTGCTGTGGGCATACAGTCTGCACACGCAGCACTGTGAAAGTCTGGGACCATGCTGTGCTTCAGCGCCTTCCCAAGCCCGAGTTCCTAATGAGAGGTTAGATATCTAATGGCTGCCTTCAGGAAGAAGTTTTACCTAAATAAAGACCAGTGCAAGGAGAAGGCATATTTACTTATTGGTATAAAGCCTTGAATGACTACTGAATAAGCTAAAGAGGGGGTATGTGTGACATCTGGAGATATTTTAATAATAATAATAAAAATATTCACCAAATAGCATCCCTGAACAAATGGGATTTGTTAACTTCAGATCCCTTGGCTATCTCAAGAAATAATATATTTAACAGCATGGCTCACACAACTGTTGCAGTGATTCTGCTTGAAAATAGTCCTGTATTTCAAATTAGGCTCTTGTTCTCAAGCACACTTTTGCTGCAGGGTTGCAAAACACACAAATGCCCTTTGGGTCCTGTGTGGGCTTCTTGCTCCCAGTGCCACTAATGCTCACCTGTTTTGTGTTTAACAGAACGTGTCTCTATCACTTCCCAGACAGCAGTATTCAGAAAACGGGCTGTACATTGGGATTGGTTTATGTGCAGTACTTCTAGCCGTCCTAATTTTGGCTCTGTTCCTCACTAGACGTAAGTACTTTCCACAGGTGGTTACACGGATGGCTCTGGTGTGTCACATCACAGCTCTGGCAGATGCTACGTCTTCTGCTTCAGGGAAGTGAGCGAAGGTCTCTGGGTGGCCTCGCGCTGTGCCCTGCGCTGTGGTTGCTCACTTAGCTCCCCCCGTAGTCTCTGGGGCACAGAATGGCAAGGTACCAACGTGGTCTTGTCACTTGATGACTCAGACTCCTTAGCAACCAGTCAAGCCACGGTCTGGTGAGGAGATGCATCATACAAGCTCACCTCCCCTGCCCTGCTCCCTTCCTCCCCATTCCTCAGTTGCCACATTATCCCAGTCCTTCTCAATGATAATGGCGGGGGCACTTGTTTTATAGAGCTATGTCCAATATTTTTCTTTGTGCCAGACTTTCTGCATAGAGGCTTTTGGTCAGACCAAGCCAAATGAATTAGGTCTTGTGGAAATAATGGGGATTTCCTATACTGAAAATATCTGCCTAAGGTTCCCTTATCTAGTTTCTTACACTTTCAATTTTTAAAAAATGCACTACTTTGCTTGCTTCTGATGCTTTAAATAAAAATATTTGTTTTATTTCTTTTTTCTTGATTTTCATTCTGGATGATCCTTAGGCTATTTATCCAATATGAAGAAGATGGGTGACTTTGGAAAGTAAGTATTCTGTTTCTGCTTTAGCAAGTAAGACAAACTAGGTTGCAGAAATAAAATGTTGTCACTATGCTGACCACTCCATCGCATACTTTAACCTCATTTTTAACCTCAAGTCTATAGGAAACACTGCAAAAAGAAATTAATAAATCCTATTACTTATTATTAGTTAGTGCAAAAATGAGTGTGTCAGTTCATTGCATTAGGAAGCATGCAAACTTCAAGTGTCGTTTGTCTCATAAGTAGAAAAATGATTCATTACCAGTAATGTTCAAATAAGTGGTTTTGCATATTTTGCACTTTTGCAGTGAGCTGGTTGACTTAACTATCTGCTCTTCTATGTTTCTATTGCCTTTTCTTTGTTTAACAGCATGGTTTTTACTCTTTTGTGCAGCTTCATTGCATATTGGAGACCAGAACGTGCAGGGAACAATAGTGCCCTGGAAGATGAGAACCACGTAGAGGAAAACATTTATATAATACACTAAGGACTGTATGCGTGCTTGCCTTTGTTATCGCTGGGACATTAAACAGTTTGCAAAATGTTAGCTGCTCTCTCTGCTCAGCAGCTAAACGTGACTGGACTACTGAAGCATTATTCACCTCATTCTAATAAAACAAATAAAAGCTACACTTCTAATTAAAAGCTTTATCAGCCTGTTCCAGAAACAGAAATCCTACTGTCTTGAATGGAAATTTCCAGAGTCCACTTATCAGTTCCTAAAGAAAGTTACCATTATATTTATTATCTGCTTCAATTTCTCTCTTCCTTTTTGGTAAGAAAAGGAAGTGCCAGAATGGCCACTCAATCACAAAAGGAAAACCACAAACTTTTTTTTGTTTTGTTTTAAGTTTGTCTTTACTGTGTCTTGTATCTGCCAGCTACAAAAGAGTCCATGCCCTCAGAGGGCAGAAGCAATCTTGTAGCTGCCATGGCAAAGATGACACATGGAAAAACTTAGTACTATTAGTATTTCAGTGTTATCTTTAGTTGAATTTTAAAGTCAGGCATACCCGGTCCTGGTAACTGCTCAGTTATGCAATGTACTAATTCCTATCCACCCACAGTGAAACCTCACAGAGCTATTGATGCATGCCCTACCATGGGATGTCCTCAGAGCATACAGGATCAGTACCTCATTGTGTAGAATATTCACAGCTGCTTTTCCGAGAACTATGACTAAGAGGATTTCCTCTGCAAAAACCATCACTTTTTCTGGGGCTTTTTCCTCAGGCACGCCTATGGCCTGAGAAGTCACTTCCAGGCCTCTAAAACAACTGAACATAAATAGCTACTTTGTAAAGTTGACGAAATTCTTATTTTTCTTAACTTCCAGAATAGTCATGGATATCGCACATAACATTGGCCTTTGCACCCCTCTAGATCCCAAATAACTCTAACGTCTTAAGCTGGATTTATTTGATGGGTTTTAGCTCGTAAATGAGGAGCATCTGTGGCCCAGTGTCTTTCTTGCATTGCCCCTCAGTTTGACCTGGTGCTCAGCTTTTATTCTTTGCAACACTAAACTAAAGGCAGGAGAGAGACCAACTCTTACCAAGTATTAGTACAAATTTTGCCCTGAAGCTCATCCCAAGCAACAACGTACAATACTTAAAGCAGACATTGCTGCCACGGGGAAGGCTTACAGACTTACTGCAAACTTTCTATCGAGTTCTTATTTTTGAAGGGAGTCATGCAAAGAACAAAGCTGTATTATCCAATGAGGCATAACGAAGCAATAATAAAATCAGTAGGTATTTATGTTAACAGCTGAGGCACTTGGGGCCATGGTCTGGTTGTGCTTTAAGGGGAGCTGAGGTCAGTGGAGCAGGTACCCTTCCTGCCTGCAGCAGGTAGAGATGGGAGGGCTGGAGCCAGCTGGGAAGGGAGTGTTTTCCCCCAGGCATCCTGGAGAGCCTGGCTAAGGTGAGATTTTGCAGGTAAACGTGCTTGCAAAGTCTCGCGAAAGAGGGAAAGCCTTTTCATCCTGTTGAGAAAGGAAGAAATGGAAAGCAAGCTGGGATAGGTGACCTTGGTGTGGTTTGTATTTTCAGTTGCATTGTGTTTTGTCGTGGGACTGCCTGTTGCAGCAGGCCTAAAATGTTGAAAATGTGGAGATGAATTCATGGTTGACTGAAGAGCTCAGTGAGGGAGCACAGACATTGGGTGGTTACTGATCCCTGGGCCAGGAAAGGCAGTGGAGGAAATCAGCTCTGCCCTTTGCTGTCTTCATGTCACATGTTGCCTTGTGTAAGAAGTTACTGAAAGCAGGACCTGCTGGTGTTAGACTGTATTTTTGTATTTGACTATTAGTAACAACTGCTAAACTGAAATTAATGACCCCACTGCAGACATTGCTTCCGTTCTGCCTGGCTGAGCATGCTGCTGCTGGGGGCTCTAGCCCATGACTGGAGCTGGAGGAAGTCTGATCTGGTCTCTGAACTACATCTCAAAAAACATCTTCAGCAATTTCTGCTTTCTGCAACATTTCCCAAATCAATCTCTACTGAGAACAGAGTTAGAGAAGTATGGGGTTACCGATATTACCTGATTCTAACTGTTCATGCTTTTAAGGAGTTTGAGGACCATCCTTGTTAATCATGAAAAATGCTTGCCCATGAGGATTTTTTTTCATAATATTACGGACTAATTTTTATATCAGTGAGCTTTTCATGTAAAATAAAGGTCTAGAATATCTGATAACCAAAAATATCAATTAAAGTTTCCTTTCTGCTTTGCAGTTACTTGGTAAGCAGACTCTGCAAAGGTCATGCAGCAGAAGCTCCCATGCTTTTTCATTACTTCCACTCGTGTCAGTGGATCTTGGAACTGGCATTTCAAAATAAGCCCCTGAGATGTGCAGGTGGCACTTGGAGCCCATTCACCCATTAAGGAATTTTACAGTTGCACACAAACTGGCAGCACATTGGGCATGATAAGGCTAATGAGCTGTAAACTATTTTTTTTTTGAGAGAGAGCTCTCTGCCTTGCCTTTGCTGCCTGCAATAAGCCACTAGATAGCAGTACAGAAGCAGAAAGCAAGCCATATTTTCCTGGTTCTTCCCAGCACACTTGTATTTTGAGTGGCCTTTTTCAATGCACTCTGCTGCATTTAGCCCAGCCTTGCTAAAGGAAGAATGCTGACAAGATGCTCTGTTCATAATCCTCCTTCCCTAGTCACCTGCGAAGTACTGACCTGTTCTGTTTTGGCAAGGTTCATGGAAATTGGTAGCTGGATAAAGACTCAAATTTGTGCCCCAGGTGGGATTCAGCTGCTCCCAGTGCTGGCATATACTGGGCATCGGCTTGCAGTCATTGCTTGATAGTGAATGATGGGACACAAAGGAGAAACTGGGATCATTGCACAGAAAAAATCTCCAGGACATTGGACACATGAGGTTTCATTAGTTCTGTTTGCAGAACAGCTGGAGCTGTGTATACTTGGCATTGTATGAACTGTACCTGGTAGAATATAGCAAATGAAATGTTTTACTGATTGATGGTTAACCTGCCTTATAATGTTGAAAATATGATACCGCTGTATTGTTGTGTCTATCCCCACTGGTTGTTGCTTATGCTGCACTGAAGCATGTGAAGGTGCAGAGCAGCATTGAGGCGTCGGTTTGGTTCAGAATAAACTCAGAGTAGTTCTTTGAGTCTCATGCTGCTTGCATCTGCCACCAAGTTGGCTACAGCAGAGTCAGCTGGCTACATGCTGGTGAAAGAAACCAGGCACCATGGCTTTGCTGGAGTCTAGTCTGTTTGGGATCTACTTCTTGCCACTCTAAATTAGCGATGATGTGATGGATGGGCATGCTAATGAGAGGCAGCCTCCTACTCCAACGTACTACTGAGTCCAACAGGTCAAGAGTCCTTCTTTAATGCAGTGTTTGGAGGATATTTAACAACTTATCCCTCCCAACCTTCCTGTGCTTCTCAAGATTTTGTAGACCTGCTCATGGTATCCCTTAGCTTACCTTTTTTCCAGGCTGACTCATCTTGGAATACCCATCTAATTCTCTTGTGGAAACTCTTCCATACTTTCCACCATTCTTTTTGCCCTTCGTGGGACCCTTTTTGAATCTAAGATACACTTTTAAGGGGACTAGAACTATACATAGAGACCAAGGTAGACTTGGATAGTGGTGTAATGCTATCTTCTGCTTTGTTTTTCATGGCTTTAGTAATAACTACTAAACTTTGATTTGCTTTTTTTTCAGTGCTACCAAGCAGAGGTGTGATATTTTCATGGGCTTGAGTACACATGATAAGCCCAAAATCTCATTCCTAAGGGAGTAGTAACTGATTAAAGCCCATCATTTTATCATTTGAACTTCCAATTGCCCTCTCCTTTGCATCATGCTACATTTATTTGCACAGAATTATGTCTATCAACAATCCTTTATTCCTGACCTTAATGCTCTGAATTACTTCTGCTTTATTACTCATCTTGTCCAGAGATGAACTTCCAATGAACTTCTTTATTCATTAGTCAGAAAGTAAAAAAAAAAAGTCAGAAAGAGTAAAAATTATTTATTGGAGATGGTGTTGCAGATGTTTGGGAAGAATGTTGTTTTGGTGAGAAAACATTTGTGAGAGTTCCTCCAAGGTTGTCTTTGGAAATAGAAAATATGAAGCTGCAGAAAGAAAGAGAGAGAAGGCAGAAACAGGAGAAATGAAGGGATTCCGTAAATGTAAGCAAAAACAGAGTCAGAGGTGGAGACTAAGCCAAATGTTTAGGCGTGTAAAAGCACAGAGCTTGTACTTGCTCTTAGCAATGGAGAATGGTAATGGGCTTTTAGAACTCCATGGAAAGGCAAAACAACAGTAGTTGAAACCTCTGGTGGTAGTACCATGCTGAGTGTCTTGTAACAGGAAAGCAGAATGGGGTAGAAGAGAATGGGATAGAACAGAATCGTTCAGTTGGAAGGGACCTGAAATTATCACCTGCTGTTTGACCACTTTAGGCCTGACCAAAAGTTAAAGCATGGTATTAAGGCCATTGTCCAAATGCCTCTTAAACACTGACAGGCTTTAGGCATCAACCATCTCTACAGGAAGCCTGTTCCAGTGTTTGACCACCCTCTATGTAAGGAAAAACTTCCTAATGTCCAGTCTAAACCCCCTTTGGTGCAGCTTTGAACCATTCCCACACATCCTATCACTGGGTACCCTGGAGAAGGGATCAGCACCTTGCTCTCCATTTCTCCTCCTCAGGACGCTGCAGAGAGCAGTGAGGTCTCCCGTCAGGCTCCTTTTCTCCAAGCTAGACAAGCCCAAAGTCCCCAGCTGCTCCTCACAGGACCTTCTTTCCAGTCCTTTCACCAGCTTTGTTGCCCTCCTCTGGAGGCATTCAAGAACCTTCACATCCTCCTTGTCTTGCAGGGCCTTGAACTTGAACCGAGGCCACACCAACACTGAATACAGCAGGCAAATCACCTCTTCTGACCAGCTTCTATCCGGAAGCATAGGAAAGAAGCAGAAAGTACAAAAAATCTGGAAATGGAGAAATGAAACTTCAGTGGGGCTCACTCAGCATCTCTGGACAGTGGAAGATCTAATTTCCTCTCCTTCCCCTTGCTCTCCCGGAGCCTCCATCAGCTAAAATGTGCCATTTTGTGCTGTTTCACTGGATTATGATACAGATCTTGATAGGTGAGTCTTCACCTGCTTTTTGTGTGCTTGCTCAGGAAACAAAAGCTTTGTAAAATTAAAAGCAGTGACACTTGTTTTGTGAAAACAAAATGGTGAAAAAGGTCATGATTGTATACAGAACTTTAAAATTTTTCCTAACTTACTAAGTTAATACTGATTGAGTTTTGGGTTTTTGTTTGTTTGTTTTTTACTTTTTAAAAATGTATGTGGTTTCCTCTGTGTATAGGCTGGGTTAGTTCCCCTGTCCTCCCAGATTATCTAGTTTCTTTACTAATGTTAAATGTGTACTGCTGGCTTTACTTCTTCATGTGTCTCTCCACCATGTTACAGTGCTGACACAGCCCAAGGTAGGGAATTGAAATATGGGCAGAGTATTGAATGTATATACATGATAAAGAAATGATTTTTTTGGGAAACTCTGAGGGCTGTCTGGTTATGAACTGAGTATGGAAAATGTGGCTGGAGATTTCATTCCTTTTACTGACAAATATTCAGTTCACCCATCTAAAATCTGAATTCCAAAAGAGATAGAAGTTAAAGAAGAGTTACCTGGGAGACTGAGTCTTGCAAGCGTGTTTTTGCATGCACATCTGGGCATCAGCAATGCAGTTTCAAAACTGCCTGAGGTAGCTCTGGGACATGGGTTCATCCACTTTCAGTAGGGTATGAGCTCCTATCAGGAGTTGTGCTTTTAAATCACTTAGGCATTTTAGGAAATCCTTAGCTGACTAAATATTAATTGGCTAAAATATTGGATGAAATATTTAGTATAAAATCTATGGCAACTGCAATGTTCCTAAATTGATCTGAAAAGTAGTGGAAAAGTCTGGTCGGTGGCAGAATACACTGAGGGGCAAGAGGTGATCCATGCCTCATTGAGGCACAGCAACACAACCTCCATGGTGTCTGCTGCGCAGGGAGGCCAGAAAATTCCGTAATTGTTTTCTTTCTCTTGTCAGACTCAGCAGAAGAGTCAGGAGGGCTCTTTCCTTGCCATCTCTTCAGCATCAAAATAAATTGGAGGTACTTGCCTCCATTTGGTCTTATTTTCAAAAACTTTCTTATATGCAGAGCTACTAAAGGACAAGAATGACATTTTGTTACCTCCTCTTTAACTCAGCTCAGTGCTGAGAATAATTCTTGAAACTCAGGAAAAACAGGAGAATGGGCAGTTAAATGCTTCTTTTCTGTTTATCGGTACTTTCTCTGCGATTTCATCAGTATAGAAGCTTCAAGAAGAAATAATAAAAAAAGTAAGGTTGATAGGGAAAAGGTGCCAAGTATCTTCTACAAAGAAGGAAAATTATTCCGCAAACAGATAAAAAAAAAACAAAACCTTTTTCAACCAGCTGCCTTGGCTGGAGGATGTGTCTTTGTCCATCCAGTGACCAGTCTACAGGAGAGAAGGCCACCACATCAGTGATGGTTAGAGTTAGTTGGTTGGTTCAAGAGAGGCTATACATAAATATATGTATATCTGTATGATCTGAACAATTATGAATAACCCTTTCTATTCTGGAAGATATATTAAATGCCTGGAGTCCATTTTTCTCTCACTTGGAATAAGCACATAGAGTGGAGTGGAACAACCCAGGCACAGCTGATGCTCAGCATGCCTTGGGTCAAATCTGGATGTCTGGGAGAGTCACTGCCATGGACAAGGGTAGGATTCCTCTCACAGTATGGCTAGAGTGTTACAATATAATTGTTTCAGGAAATCTTATTTTCAAAGACATGTTAATTTAGTCCTGTTTACTAGTTCTTTTGGAAAATGAGTCTCTGGAAGAGGCTGCAACTGAGAAGGAAGTTATTCAGCCCTTGCAGAGGTTCACACTGTTGAATCAAGGCTGTTTGAGGTATTGAAGCTTTCCATACCAACCTGCAGTGCAGACAGATGTTAGCAACATTAGCTTTACATAAATTAAAAGAGGATTTGAAACTGCAAAACCTGTAACTTTCTAGCACCAACATTGATGGGAAACTGCACTGGAGACACACTGGTGCCTTGTGTCTTCCCTCTTCTTCTTTTTATTTATTTATATCTTAAGCTCAGGGCTCTGCTTCTTTCAAAGAGAAGAGCAGGCAATTTTTAATTTGCTGAAGGTTTGCTTAATGAAGCTGCTTTTGTGCTGTGCAGGACTAGGATGAAAAGAACAGAGGATAAGCCCATTTATCCTCAAGCAGCAGTGACCTTAGCTCCGGGAACATATTGGTTTTACACACATCTTTGTTGGGTTGACTTGAAAATATGTGTTAACCCGCTCAGTGATTAAACCCCTGCTCCCCTAGGGATACTTGCAAGGTCAACTGGATGAACCATTTTGTTCTGTCATCACAGAGAGAGGCTGCTTTCTCTGTTTTGCTGTACCAAGGCAAATGAACCTACCCTTTCCAAGGACCTAAACAAGCAGCCATCATGCAAAGCCTTATCCTGTATTCAGGAATTCATATTTTGGCACATCCTACTTTCACTGCAAAAGCTTCTGCCCTTCACACCATATTGCATGTTGTTTTGTCTGCCTCTACTCTTTTAGCATTTGAAGCTGTGTAAACCTGGATGAGTTGGCTTATCTTGCCAATGGGATAAGCAATAATGAAGCTGAAATGTCATCCCAATGACAAGTCATGAGGCAACCTGCCACAGACTAAAACCTCACCTGGGGAATAGTCCATTAAAGACAAAACAAAAGAGACATGGACACAGTTGGAAGCATCTGTTTGCTCTCTGGGAGTCATGCCAAAAAGAAAAGGCATTCAAACAGCTGGCAAAATAGAAATGTTTGGCAAACCAGGGCCAAAGCTGGTGATAATAGTAGCAACTGCTCTAAGTCCTCTTTGAGGTAAGCAAGCTGGCCATGAGACATCAGATCTGTGGGATGATCCTCTTGCTGCAGCAAGATCAGACTGGATCTGGATGCTCCCCACATCCCTCAGTTCATACTCCACTATATGTAAATAATAGCATGGAGGGAAAATGCAGCAAGGTAGGAGGATCAACACAGACTAGATGAACATAAACCAGAAAAGATTTGTTCCTATATGGGGACCCCTTTTTGTATAGTCCCTTTTATGAAGAAGAAATCCCTTTTTGGGCAATCTGGGAACTGCAGGGACAGTTAAGGGGGAACAATATGTAGATTCAAAACAGATGCTAAGGTGGGTATTGGCTGTAAACAGCAAGTAAAGCTGGTCATTACGAGTAAGAGCACAACAAAAGCATACATATGCTCTTTTTAACATCAGTATAACGCTAGCAGTTAAAACTTCTATGTACCCAGTGCTCTGCAAGGTATGTGGGATAATTGGCAGGGCTTGCCCAGAAACAGAAAAAGCAGTACACTTTCTGAGAACAGGTCCTATAGAGAGATCCCACTGCTCTGCCAGCTTAATTAGGCCCTAATTTAACACATGAACAGGTATTTTGGACCTTGCTATTGAGACTGTCAGTGAAAGGCAACTATGACAGTGTTTCCTTTTTGAAGGAGATGATGGTAGACTGAGAAAACCAGATGTATTTCACACCAGGTTTCTGAACAACTTTCAAACGGTCTCTTAGAAGAGGAGATAGGATGGGAATAGAGTGCCCAAATCCCATTTGCACAGGTCTAGCCTGTGCTTGAGCTACCAGTGACAGACCTCAACTTTGCCCACCACACATTTGATGTGAGGTATCTCATGAGCAGCCCTCCAGCAGCTGGCCGAGGCCAGAGCATGAAGTCCTCCAGCAGCGAGCCAATGTCTGTGAGCTCCTGGCTGTTGCCCGTGGTGCCTCAGGCCATCAGCTGTCACAGGCTCCAGGGGAAGGCTTGGGGGATCAGTAACTGTGGCCTGCCTGCAGGCAGGAGCACTTCTTTTCCTGCCTCATTGTGTTTTGTGTGTAGAGTCACGTATTGGAGACTGCCAACACTCATCTTTACTTGTTCTTCCTTCACAGTGCACACTGCATCTGAAACTGTTATTAGAGGAGTAATAGGACAACCCGTTCAGTTGCCTTGCTTCTACAAGGTGACACAAAGTAAGGACATCTCCGATATGTGCTGGGGCAGAGGCCCGTGCCCGAATTCGAAGTGCAATAACAAAATTTTGCACACCACTAGGAACAGGGTGACGTTCAGAAAATCTCAGAGATACAATCTCCAGGGCTATATTTCCTATGGAGATGTGTCCCTCACGATTGTGAAAGCGAAGGCAGAAGATGCAGGTACATACTGCTGCCGCATAGAGATCCCAGGATGGTTCAACGACATCAAACAGAACATACGGCTGGAGGTTATCAGCGGTGAGTTGTGGGACCTTCATGATACAGCCAGCAGGGAGAAACCTCTCACTGGGTAGGAGTTTAAAACCTGAGTAAATGTGTGCTTTTTTTTTATTTGTTTGTTTTAGCAGAAAGTGTTTTCCTGAAATATGTGGTTTTCAATGCAGGTCTGCAACCAGTTGTCAATTTCAATTGCATTCAATGAGCAGTTTTGATGAGAAAATACTAACTTTTATCCTTTTTTTTTCCTTTTAAATGAAATACTTAATTTCTCATTGTGTAGCTATATTTGACACTTTAGAAGATGATGGAATTAAAAAAGGGATTTATCATTTGAAGAGTCCTTGGAATGAAATTCAGTTTTTCATTTGGGCTTCACCCCAACACCAAAAAGGCTTTCATTTGGTTCATGTCCTAGGGAGACCTATGTGTTTTGAATTTTTTCTCAGAGTCCTGAAGGAATGTTTCCCCTTCCTATTATTTTGCTGAGCTGCAGCATGAAGTAAGAGTCTTACAGATTTGAGAAAAGGCTGAGAAGCATTGTAAAGAACAGAAGAAAAGACAGTGCTCACTCTCCACATTGAAAAATGACATTTTTTTTCAGACTTTTACAGGGTGTTTAGGGGTACAATTGGTGCTGACATACACAGGACTCTTGTATCACAGTTGTAAGCGACATAACTCGAGAGTGGGAGAAAAATTCAGCAATCCTATTTCTATCTCTGAGTTTGAGGGCAACAGAGTTCATAAAAAGGGACTGGTTGAAAAGATCAGCAAAAAGCTTGTGGTGAAAAACAAGTTTTGGTTTGGTTTGGTTTGGTTTGGTTTTTTTATGAGGACTTCATGATTTTGTTTTTCAAGTTTTTGAGATCTACCACATAAGGTTCTGCCCCTTTGATTTCTGTGGGAGGGTCAAGGAGGGGATGTTTGAGACCTCCCAAAAAACCCCACAAATCTGTAAGTTTTGGAATTGCTCTGTCTGGGGCATGTATTCTGCTAATTAGACAATCTTTATAAATTGTGACTCTCCCAGGATTCCCACTGGGAGAGTATATCCCACTCTTCACAGTATTTTAGCAGCCAGATAATTTTAATTCATTTGTGGCTTGGGTTGCCTCAGTATCAGTTGTGAATGATCTGATCTAGATTTTCTCTTGGCTGTTTTTTCCATGCAGCCCCTCCAGTGACGACAACCACCATGAGACAGGCTCCTGTTTCCCCAAAACATTTTAGAACAACAACTTTTGCTCCCCAAGCAACCTCTGATCATCAAACAACAGCAGAGACATCTGTCCTCCTGACAACCACCATCCTTCCATCAACAACTGCAACCACCGATTATCAAACAACAGCAGAGACTGCTGTCCTCCTGACAACCACCGTCCTCCCAGCAACAACTGCAACCACCGAGTCTCCAGCAGTAATTACAGTGGAGACCATTGCTCCCCCAACATTTGCTGTGACAGCAAATGACATTTTCCCAGAAACTATGATGACAACCAGTGGTTTCCCAGGTTTTCCAACTGATTTCCAAGCAGTTGACATGAGGACTGAGGATGACTACGTGTTCTACTCAGCAGAGTCTATTCCTCTTCCTGAAGGTATGACGAGTAACCAACACTAATCTTTTTTTTTCTTGTGTAGCAGAGTTGGTCTGTGTTAGCCTGACCCTGGCATCATAAAGACTCTCCAGATACTTAGACTTGTATCTGTGAAGTTTTCTCCAAGTTGCCTATAGGTATGTCTCAGTAGGTTTAAGGAAACAGGTCAAATGTTGTAGAAGATGCCAAACCAGGGTGAATGGCCAATATAGCAGAGGGTCAGGCTTGCATTCAGATGAGATTTAACATACTAGAGAAATAATGTGACAGAAACGTCATGAAGTACAACAGAAATAAATGCAAAGTCCGGCACCTGGGATGGAGTAAGCGAGATTCATTCAACTATGAACTAATTTTTTTCTTGATTTGGGAAATACAATTGAAATGGTCTGCTGAAAAGGTTAGTTTAGAGCACGTTCTACTTGAGCAATAAAGTCAGTGAAAATTCAGAACATGCTTAAAATTGAGTACTTACATTGTTCACATGCTGATATCTGCACACAAGGCTGGTTTTTGTACTTTTTTCGGATCTTCTATCACTTGAAGTTCTTTCTGACCTGAACCTCTGAGGACAGCTTTTCTGTATCATCTCTTGTCTTCCAGCCATAACAATGCACCCCAGTTAAACTTGGCAAGAATTAATTAAAACAACCGAGCAGTTAAAACACCTAAGCACTGGCCATGCTAGTAAAGTACATCAGTTATCTGGGAGGGTATGAGCTACAGACATGAAAAATGAAGTGCAGATTTTCACATTTTAGTTGCAGATGCAGAACTGTGCAAGCAATTTTGAGCGCCACATGAAGACCTCCCTAATCCATGATCTTTATGAGCATTAATTTTTACTTTGTTTCAGTGACTACTGAATTCCTAAGTACACTTCCAGCTGCAGAGAGAACTGAAAGTGCTGACACTGCTCACATGGTTGACGATGAGCCAACTACAGGTGAGTAGGATAACGTTGTAAGGTCAGAAGTCGCATGTACAGAGAAATTAAGAAGTTGTCATAAATTAAACTATTGACTATTCTTAGGAGTGTGCTGAACAGGTACTGATAGCTATTCATTGCATTTGGAAGTAAGAGGTATCTGGAGTCTGCACAGAAATTGTTTGAAATCAGGATGTAGCAAAAGCTGAGAAAAACATGTTTTTAAGCCTCCAAAGGAAGTAAATTTTGAGTGACTCACTATTGTCAGGTATCTCAGGTCTGAGAGAAGTTAAGAAGTGGTCTTTGTCACCACCTAAGCTAAGTTCTGAGATATCTGATTTGTCATCACTGTGAGCTCATCAAACTCTCAATTTTAAACCTTCCCTGAGTGTGTGAGCTTTGAACCTCACTGAATAGTCACCCAGATGTGGCTGTAGGCTCAGCTCTCCAGTGCTCAACGTGTGTCCTTTGTCATGATGGAAAGTAGCAGACAGTTACCACCACTATCAGTCATTCCTTCAAGAGAAAGGGAACTGGTATACAAAATCATACCATATTGGAGAAATGAACCCACTTCATGAAGTTTGCACTTTGTCTCTCAGCCAAATATAAGAGCAGAATGGCCCAAGTCACTCAGGTGTGATAGCCTGGCCACCAGATGCCCTCAAATGAAGACTTAAAAAAAAGGAAAGCTAAAATTCAAGGATGACCTGTCATATTTGGCTGTTAAGAGAGTCCTTTTAGTATGAACTAGTGCCAAGAATCTCTTCATTCTTAAAAACACAGTATTCAGATTATTGCAGGTCTTCTTTTGCTAGACTAGAGACTTACTGAGACTTACAGCATTTTTGGAGTTTAGGAAACCATTCATTCATGTCCCTGGACAGGACTCACAGAAGAGACTTAATTGGTCTCTTGAGCATTTGTGAGGGTCTCTTCTGTGTCTCTTCTCATATTTCTCATCTGGTTCTGGATAACGCCTATATTCTGCCATTTTAAACAGGGAGGTTTGCAAAGGGACTTAATCCCAGGATTCTGGAGGCAGCTTGAGTTGTGACTGTGGGCTAGAAAATGCCACCACAGAAGTGGTAACAGCAGAAAATGCACCTTGCTTATGTGAGTCATGTATGTTCCCACCCACACAAAAATTTGTGTCATGCTATTTCCAAGAGCCAAACTGTCAAAATGTGTGAAAATGCTGCAGCATAATTGTGCACTGGCTAATGAGAGCCATCAGCCAAGTTAAGTTCTGAACTCAGTCTCCTTTCTGCTCTGTGAAATAATGCACTAAATGGACCAGCTTCGGGCTTATTGCAATGTAAGAGAAGGGTAATTTGTTGCTGAACTCTGTGCTGACGTTAGCACAGCAGCTGGGAGGGAAACCTGTGGTTGAGCCTTCCATCTCCAAGCACAATCCTTGCCAGCTGGGTGGGGTAGATGGGGCGGTTGGTTCCTGCT